CCAAAGCCAAGCTGAAAAGTCCAAAAAAGGCACCAAAGGAAAGAGGGGAAGTGGGTTTTGTTTTCCTCCTCTGCATGCACAAATTTCTGTGTGTGGGAGTCACATCATAGAATCATAGGTTTGGAAGGGATTTTGGGGAGCATCTAGTCAACCCCACTGCCCAGTGTAGGAATCGTCATGTTTGCTTATTTATTTATTTATTTATTTATTCATTCATTCATTCATTCATTCATTCATTCATTCATTCATTTAAAAACTTCTGTGGCTACCCATCTTGAAAACACAATTCTGGGAAGTTCACAACAGTTGTATAAAAACTTCATAAAAGAATAAAAGCAAAAACAAACAAACAATAAAAGCAGAAACAATAACCTGGCATCACAACCAATCTTCTACGGTGCAGCCAACACTGCTAACTTCCAGCTCTGACTTCACCCTATCTTAGCGCTCAGGGGAGGATCCAAGACAAATGGCTATGATGAAACATGATGTCATGTGGCAAAACTCACAAGGTACATGCTTGCATCATCATATGCAATGAATGCAAGTGTGCCAGAGAGGGATTTGCATCACGACATCACTGTGTGCATTTCATCATTTTGATGGAATTTTGGTGCATCACAGATGCCTGTGTCTGCATGCTTGTTTTCTGCCAAAAGGATTCTCTTGCACACTCCCTTTATATGCAGGTAGAAGCAAAACCTGTCCTCCAAGTCCAGTCTGATCTTAAACAGCCATGTTATCTGGAAATGCAGCCACCTTTGAAGGCTTCCATTTATGAAGACCACTTCAGTCCTCCTTTCCCTACTCCTGCAGTGTGAGGGCAGCCAACACTCTGCTTTAAAGCAGTGTTTCTCAACCGTAGCAACTTTAAGATGGGTTGAGAAGACTTCAACTGCCAGAATTCCCAGCTGGCATGCTGTCTAGGACAAGGTTCCTCAACCTCAGGAACTTTAAGATGGGTGGACTTCAACTCCCAGAATTCCCCAGCTGGCAAGCTGTCTAGGGCAGGGGTCCTCCACCCCAGGAACTTTAAGATGGGTTGAGAAGGCTTCAACTGCCAGAATTCCCCAGCTGGCAAGCTGTCTAGGGCAGGGGTCCTCCACCCCAGGAACTTTAAGATGGGTTGAGAAGGCTTCAACTGCCAGAATTCCCCAGCTGGCAAGCTGTCTAGGGCAGGGGTCCTCCACCCCAGGAACTTTAAGATGGGTTGAGAAGGCTTCAACTGCCAGAATTCCCCAGCCAGCATGGCTGGCTGGGGAATTCTGGGAGTTGAAGTCCACCCATCTTAAAATTGCCGAGGTTGAGGAACCCTGGTCTAGGGAATTCCAGGTGCTGAAGTCCACATATCTTAAAGGTTGAGAAACACTGCTTTAAAGTGTCAAAGGCAAAAGCTGAGATGTCTTGGTGCTCATGCCCCAGGGGCACTTCCCTTGATTTTTAATGGGCAAAAGAGCTACCATACAGATTCAAATACATATAAAATCACATCATCTGTTCCTCAGTTGGGAAGAACATCACAATATGCTTCCTAACATACAGGAACATTACAAAAACTTGAAGAAAACACTGGAGGTTTCCACCTTGTGGCAGGCAGTTACTCCTTACCTGTGATGCACACATGATGGCTCGGTATTCTCAATGGGTGGAGATTCAGGTCCCTTGCCTTGGCATTCCTCGATCCCTATGACTTTGGCTTTATTTTCTCCATAAACTGGTTGATTATTCTCAAATCTGTAATGCTGTAGAACCATATCTGCTGAAACCTCATTTCCCTTTAGAAAAATAACAACCCAGATCACAGTTAATTGGGTGGAAAGAGAACAGTAAAGAATTAAATGGAATTGTTTTGCATACATGGAATCTTAGAAGAAATTGGTATTATTTGGAACTGACATATAAGCTACAGAAAGACAAAGGTGAGGAGAAAAAGTCTTCTGCACATTCCACCATCTTTAGTAGGAACATGAGAAGTTGCCTTCTATTGAGTAGGATTCTCGATAATTGTTTAGTTAAGTTTAATCAATGCTGACTAGCATCTTTTTTCTGGATCTCATGGCAGGAATTTGTCCAGCAGGAGGGCTCTGCTAGAGATCTTGCCTCTGCAAGGATTGTTGCTTGTTGAGCTTCAGTTCAGGGTAGGCAAATAACCATATAAGCCACCTTACACTTTGGAAATCTTGTCTATTCGAAAAGATATTCTTGCCTAAACAAGAGAATGCTCTTGCCAAAAGCTGGCTTGCCTGTATAATTCAGTGGATAATTCTGAATCCTGGGATTTAAGAATGGGATCCAGAAACTTTCTTTTCAGTGATTGGTAACTTGGTTGCCTATGGGCATCAGGATGCCTCTAGCCAACCTCCTTGCCCTTACTGATTTTAATATTTCTAACAATTCTATGAATAGAAAAAGTGGGAAAGCTGATAGCCTCATGTTAAAATATTAGCATGCCCCGGGAGGGACATTGGCCACTTATGGCTTTTAAATCATGGTTGTCTACAGCCTGATGTTTTCTTTGGAAATATCTATGCCTACCTACCTAGAAAAAAAAATACTGTGGTGGCAGGAAGCATTCTTGGGGGCCTAGAGTGAGTGGTGGTGTTTGCCTTCTGAGAAACAGTCTTTTGCGCCCGACTATATTTAATGTGGCATCCATTTGGTGACAGAACTCATGACATACTCTCAAAATTCCAAAATAGGTCTACTGGACTCCCTCCACACAAATTGCCTACCTTTGTTTTAACTTGATTAGCTCCCATTTCTTTCACTGTAATAGTAACAGTAACAGTAATAGTAGTAGTAGTAATAGGAGTTTTATTTTTCACATGCTTATAACCAGCCATGGGAAAAAGGGCTGTATGGGATCCAGACAAGATCTTTAAGGTGTCTCTGTGTACAAAGATCTGGCTTGTCCAGTTCATGGCATTTTTGATAAAATCATATGGTTATGAAAGTTGGGCAATGAAGAAACAAAATAGGAAAAAAAATAGATACTTTTAAATTATAGTCCTGGTGAAAGATACTGTTGAGTACAATGGAATGCCCAACAAACAAATCTCTTGATATTGGAGGAAATTAAACTTAGGCTTTCCTTAAAAGCTCAAATGACAAGACCACACTTTCGTATTTTGGATATGTGTAGGATATCTTGCTTGGCCAAGCTGAGTGAAACACAAAAGGAAGACAGGCAATGGGATGGATTTATTCAATAACAACAGCCATTAATTTATTTTATTTCATTTATTTAGAAATGTATATGGCCGCCTATCTTATACCTGATAATCTTAGTAGCTCCCGATAATATTCAATAAAAACAGAATAAATAAAACTGATCAAACCTCAGAACTACACCATACATCCCAACCACAGCACACCAACATCCCATGAACTCTATTTTTACACATATGCTGTGTTCACCTTAGCACTCTGGAATGCCACTCTAGCAATGATTGGCCATCTGACTGGAAACCAAATACAGTTCAGGACAACTATCCACAGAGTCACCATGAGTCGACATCAACTAACAACAACACAACTAAGCACAGTACAAAATAATAAAATTCAACACCAAGAAATTGATACATCCAGTTTCTTAAATTAAGATTGCAACTAAAACACAGAGCGTTAGTAAACTGAATGCAGGCTACAGTACTTCAAAATCCAGGGATCTTACCTTGTTCATCTGTTGCCAGAGAATGAACTTTTCTATTCTCAACACATCAGCTATGTCTAGGTTATCTTTAAACAGGGAACTCAGTGCTTCTATAATATCATCCATGAATGCGTGCATCAAGACAAAGATAAGCTTGACAGTGTTGATTATTCTTTGCCCAATACTTTCTGTTGTAAAGAGAATAAGCATATCATGTGTGTGAGAAAAGCTGAGAGTCCAACTACATTCCAATTCCAAAGACCCTTTAGGGATCTGCAAGGCTTGGAGCATACAAATCTAGGATCACCTCACCTTGAATCTATCCTGTGACTTACATTAGGACACTTCAACATCAGTGCTTTAAAGCAGTTTGTGATCAGCTCCAGACCCAAATGCTCTCATATCATTGTCTATAGTCAGCTACAACAATTAATTTCTGACTCTGTTCCAATTTATTAGAAACAACTGCAAAACTGGTATTTTATCTTCAAACATTGTAGATCTGGAATTTTATCATTCCCAAGTGAATTCTTGCATCATCTTATCTTCTTGCTCCTGGGTACAAGCCAGCCATTACTCCACAGCCACCTTCCCTGAAGCTGATACTTGCTTTGGGGGAAAATACTCTAAAACTTTGACTGTGATTTTCTCCCCATACTCCAGAAATCCTTTTTTCAGAAAGAGATTTTCCTGAGAATCCATTAGGGGAAGAAAGAGTTAAATACCTCCATTGCTTGTGATCTTAATGATCACCACCAGCTCTTGTAAAGTGCAAAAATACATTTAATGTGATATACCATTTCCGTGCAAACTTTTGTTAGACTTGCTTGATCACAGTTGGAATCTGAAAACTACTTGCACCAGCAATATAACATTAACAAGACAATAAAATTGGAACAACATAGAAATAATGATGAAATAGAAACAAGTATGAGAAAATCATGACTATTCCTGATGGTTATGATCAACTGGAGCTTACTGACTCAAAATTTATTCTAGAAACTGTCCCTTCAAAGCAACTAAAAATGTCACCACCATCACTACCACCATCATGGATTAAAACCATTAGTTTAATTTGCAGGACTTTTCCACACTGTAGCCTTCAGCTACTTGTCTCCCATGCACAAACTGGTTAGAAATGAAAACATCTTAAGAAATCTCTTTCTTTTCCTCCACTTTGGCCACAGTAATGGCCCAATGTTCTATCTGGACTGCAATTAGCAGGGACCCTCACTGGTGGATTCCCCATCCCCTTTGATGACATGGGCTTCTTGCTACCCTTCAGAGACTGGAAGACTGGGTTACAGCCCTGAACACCTTGATGATTACTCACCTGTGACCTACATGAGAGATAGATGATTGACTCATTAGTTGGCATGCTAATGATTTCTGAACAATGGGATTAATTACCTGACTTATCCAAATCCTCTTCAGTAGCTGGTATCTCTGTATTTTCATCACAGGATTCCAAACTGACATTAGCTAAACACACAATGCAAAGTCAAAAAAATCAGAAGAACATCCCAGAATTATGACTTCAGGCCAATGCCCTCTGTGGAGAGCCCAATGTTGCAGTGGTAAATGTACTGAGATTTACACCTTTCCATCAACAAAAGTTTAAATTTATTTTTAAGTGGAGAAGTGTGTAAAATATATTAATAGGGGCTGGGGGATGCTTTAAAATATAGTATTTTCCACTTCAGACCAACCGTGGTACAACCTAGTGAAAATAACAGCATGTGTATAAGTATCTCCTACCTCTTCCACCTTCTGTCAGTTGCTCATATTTTTTATTTTCCTCCTCCTTTTCCTTTTTTTGAATCCTGATTTCATCTTTCCCTCTCATTCTTAGAGCTGATTTTGAACTGCTCGTCCAGGCTTCATATGCAAGCTGCAAAGAAGACAGACTCTTATTTAGCAATGGCTAACTTGGGGCAGAATACATTAAATTATTTCCTATTGAATTTCTGCCTGGCTTCTACTTTTAAACAGAAATTGTGGGTTTTGTAAAGAAGCCAAAACATAAAATAAAAATCGATGTACTGAAAGAAGATAGAACCTAGTACCCATGAACTCCTTCTGTTAGAAACAGCCAACTTTGAACCCAACTGGAATCCCACCTCTATTCTTTCCTTGTTATAGCAGGCAATAACACCTTTTTGATCATGACCAGGCTTGGAAGCCAAGCAAGATCAAATCAGACATAGTTAAGATGATTTCATACTTAGATGAGATTCTACCAGGGAACTCCAAGTCTATTAGCTCTACTGGAAAATTAGGGAAAAAATCTGAAAAAAATGATGGCAGTCATGCTGTTGCAAAGAAAAGGGCATGATCAGTACATATAATCACTCTTCTCAAGAAGCTATTGCTGGACCCAACAGAACTGGACAATTTTTGTCCAGTCTCCAATCTTCCCTTTTTGGGGAAGGTTTTGACAAAGTGGTTGGCTTGCAGCCCCAGAGGGCCATGGAGGAAGTAGATTATCTGGATAGTTGGAATTCAGACCTGGTTACAGTACTGAGATGGCATTGATCATAATTGGTGGGCTCAGAATGAGCCCATTCTTGATCTTTTAGCAGCTTATGATCCCATCAATCATGGAAACTTTTGGGATTGGTTCAGGGAACTGGTAGTGGAAGGCACAGTGTTCCTGTGGTTCTCTTCCTTTTTCTAGGACTGGTTCCAGTTGATGTTAGTATGTGGAGAGAAATCAAGCCTGAGATGTGGGTTTCCTCAAGGTTGTGCACACTCCCCACTTCTATTTAACAACTATTGAAGCCACTGGGGGAGGTCAACTATTGACATGGGGCAAGGTATCATCACTATACATCTCTGCCCTAGGCCAACCAAGTGATCTCACTGAAGTCCCTTCCTGGTGACTGGAGCTTGTGGGGGCATGAATGGGGAAGGAACAAGCTCTGACTCAACTCTGGCAAGATTGAGTGGCCGTGGGTTTAGAGACCCCCCAGATCATTTTTGAGGTTTTTCATCTTTATGTCTGAATGGGGTTGCACTACTCTGGATGGAGTTGGTGGGCAATTTGAAGGTCCTCCTGGACTCAGCCATAGATAGAAAGGCCTTTGCACAAGACCATCTTGTGTACCAGTTGCACCCATTTCTGGATCAGGAGGCCTTACAGTAGCTATATGGGACTGCCCTTAAAGAGCATTCAGAATCTGCAGCTGCTCCAGAATGCAGAGGTGCAATTCAAGACACTGATTACCACATATAAAGCCTTACGTGGCACAGGGCCAGGTTATTTGCAGGACTGCCTGTCTCCAATTATCTCTCTTCAACCCACCAGAACCAGCAGAGCTGATCTGCTCCAGGTCCCATCGATTAGTCAGTGACATCTTGTGGAACCTAGGACTCATGCCTTCTCTGCTGCTGTGCCTGCCCTGTGGAACACCATTCCCCTAGACGTCCAGATGGCCTCAACCCCTGTTGGTCTTCCACAAGGTGTTAAAGACGTGGATGTTCCCATAGGCATTTGGACCAGGTCAAGTGAGGCCCATTGGTTAGCTGTTTAGTTACTGTTACTTACTGTGGAATGGATTTTTCAATCCCAGGTATGTGAGTTTCATAAACTGTTATTCTTTTAATCTTTGTACACTGCCTAGAATCACCATGGTGAGATGGACAGCTGTATAAATCTAATAAAAAATTCAAAGACAGCCATCCTCTTAATTATTACCAAGCCCTCTCCATTATATGTCATATAATTTAGTTTTCTGGATTAGAGATGTGCATTACTAGAGAGTACTTACGTTGTATAGGATTGTAGTCTTACAAAGCCTGAAGGAAGAAAAGTTTTTGCCTACCATTTAAAATTAACTCTCCATGCCTCTGTGCCACTTCCATTTGCTCTCATTCTACAAGAGTCCCTTCCCCAACTCAGCCTTTTTTTCCCCTTCAGAAATTGGACACACCTGCAATGCTGTTTTCTTTTTAAAGAATTCTTTTTTGCTCTTTTCAGAGGGTCCATGTTCTTTTTCTTCTTTTTCTTCTTCTTCTTCACTGTCAGTCTCAAAAAGAGAATAGCTCCCACTTCGAATCACTGAAATTGACAGGGATGCAGATATGAAAAAGCTCTTGTGGAACTCTGTGCCACACACACAACATTCAGGTTCTCAGCTGTGTTTTAGTTCCTCAAAGATCGCAGCTCCACTGCCCCGTTTCTTACTCACTTACTAAAACCAATTAGAACAGCTTTCTATCTAACCCGGTGTCCTGCAGATGGAGTTGACTTCAGCTCCCCTCTATTCAAGCCACTTGTAGCCCCACCCATCTGAAGAAAATCAGGTAGAGAAGAGGGGAAACAGACATTGTTTTGCCCAGACATTTCACAGTAGAGTTATTGCCCTTGCATGAAACAGACAGAGCTCTATACAGTACCTGAAGATGACACCCACATTTTTGTAAGTTGTCTGCATTAGAAATATTTTTTTAAAACTTTGCTGCCTATTTAATCAAGGATATCTTTCTGATCAGCCAAAATGCTTTTAACCAATTGATCTAACTCATTGTTCATGATTTTGCAAGCCTAGCAGTAATTACTCAACAGCATAAACATCAAACAAATCATGAAGGACAAGTTGAAAAGACGGAAGGGTCTGATCAAAGGGGACAAAAGGTTACACCAAGGCAAGAGACCTTTCCTTAGCATTGTAAACACAGGGAATGCACCTGAAGCATGTGTCACCCATGGCTGCCACCAAGTCTTTTTATTCTCTTTTTCCATCTTGCTGGTATCATCTTCTGCAGAAAAAAGCAAGAATTATTCAGTAAAAAGTGCCTTAAGAAGAGGTAGAGAAACCTTCTCCAACCTGTCACTCTCCAGAAGTGTTGGAATTCCCAGACTTCATGACCAATCATCCATGGGGTCAGGGGGCAAGTGATGACACGCAAATGACATCATCACACAAATACTATGGCTAATATACCTGCAGCAGTACAGTGGAATTTGCTGATGCATCATCACACGTGTAATTTTAGTGTTGTCGTAGTTTGCTGCAGACACTGTTGTGTCCATGCTAGCTGGGAATTCTGCAGCTGCAATTCAAATCTGGAGGGTATTGGATAATGGAAATGGAAGATTCATATTGATAGCTTACAGTAACCTAAAATTCTAAAGAATTTGGTGCTATGAAGCAACATGTTGCTTTTTTCTGCTGTGTCACTCCTGCTCAACTCTTCTTATCAGTGGTGCCAGATAAAAGTGAAACTGCTCCATATATGAAACAGACATCTGATGTGTTCCTTTCCAAGCAAGACCATTAGAGACCAAGAACAAGCCACAGATTCTAACTGTGGCTTATTTGCAGAGGAATTAGACAAAGTTCCTGTTTTTCACTGTAGGTGCAGGAGTAGAAACCAAGTGAGAGCAATCAAGTTGTGGTGTCAGAAAGTTGCTTGAGTGTGCCAGAATTCTTTACAGTTCTGTGATTTTACTGTTTGCAATCATGAAAACATGTCCTTCAAACTCATACATGGTGCATGAAGAAAAGGCAACATGCAGCATGGCTATGTTTGCTAAGAAAAAAAAATGCTTTTCTTTTTTAAATTAGAACCAATTGCAAATGGGTTTGCTAATTATTTTATTGAAAAATGAAGTATACGTTTTCAAAATAAACTAAAATAATACTTGTTTACTTTATATGAAATGACCAGCTAGGAAGTAGCATCTGGCTGACCTTGGCTGATCTCAAAAAGCTAATCAGGGAGAAGCCTGTTTAATATTTGGATGGGAATTCCAGGGCTATAGACTAGCCTGAGAAGTTGAAAAAAAGAACAGAAGACAATGGCAAACCACTTCCATATTGTTGCTAAGAAAACTACATGGATGTGTTCATGAAATCAACAGGAGTCAAGCTTTACTCAAAAGAGATTTTAGAAGTGCAGTTGTTCACACCAAATGGATACTTTACATGTGTGAGAAATATATAATCCAAATACATATTTTATCCAAATTTCTGGTTATTTAAATGTCTGGGATATTCAAAGTTTGCTAAGCAATAAGGCTGCAAGTGTGACATTTTGGCAAAAAAATTGAGAGTTTTTACCTGGATCCTCTTCTTCTTCCAATTTCTGATCAGATTCTGCTTCTTGTACTTTTTGCTCCAAGGAACTTTGCTTTTTTAATTTTGGTTTAATCAGATCCACTCTAAAAATTAACAAAAGAACAGATGATTTCCTTCATCCCCCCCCCCCAAAAAAAATCATTTCTAAATACTTGTGATACAGTTTCTTCACAAATGACACTGGCATCTGGAAAGGGTTAAACTCTTCCATCCAGGTTCAACTCAGATTTAGAATAGGCAACCCATGGTATTTCCCTTTTACTCAGAAAACAATTTTCTTTATTCCAAGCCCAGTTTTGATCATGTTAGTTCTGATGATATATATGAGAAAGTGGTGAGTTCCTAACCCCATCAAGGAGTTTGTCAAACCATGCTGACTGGGGAATTCCGGGAGTTGAAGTCCACACATCTTAAACCTGCCAAGGTTGAAAAACATTGCCCTAGAGACATCTCTGCATCCTGAGTATTTGTTAAAATACTGTATTGACAGCATCTCAGAAGCCAGGGATCCTGGGAAATGTGATTTTCCCAGGATTTCCAACTCCACTGTAAGTCACTGAGAGCTCATGGGAGAAGAACCAATATGCCACCATGCTTGTCTTGGATCAAAGGAAATCATGAACATCATTACTTGCACCCCTTTCTTATCCATGTTTACCAAGACCCAAATGCGATAGAATTTATTTGCAAGTAAATGAGCAAAGAACTATCAAGGATGCATTCATATCAATATAACAGATTTTTTTAAAGACTATACCAGTGTTTAAGGACTTATGATTTCTCTTCTCTCCCTCTTTTGTGGGTTTCACTTGTTTGCCTATACAGAACCAAGCGTATGTTCTTCCTCTGAAGCCTAAAGTACAGGAAGATGTCTGAAATCTTCCTGAGCTTATTTCTTTTCCTACCACACTTCCATATTTGTGGTTCTGAGGGTCATCAGAGATCACCATTGCCATCTAGCATCTTTAACTATATCAAGCCTCTTTCACAGAGAATACCGGGGGAGTGTTTAACTCATACCACCTGGAAGCACTTCTTGTAAAGAAGATGTTGTGATGTGGATTTAGACATGCAGACTTCTTCAGACCACCAAAGACAAAAATAAATATGTATTTTTTATTTGTCAACTGTCCAGAATTGCATGGAATTTAATTCATGGATATAAGTGTTAATTGCTAGGGATGAAGGAAAAGCTGCCGCAAAAAGGGATTTAAGAAAGAAAGACAAGATATCTGTCCAAGACTTCTGGTCACAAGGAACAATCTGATTAGAAGCTATCCAACCATATTGGTGACATTAATGGCATTGACATTATTGAACTGAAACTTTCTGCATACAAGGCAGCTACTCTGCCTTTAAGCTGAAGATCCATCCTTGCTGCTTTTTCCCAACTGAGAACAACAGAAGAAAATAGGTTGTGGTTCCCCCCCCATCAATAATACCTAGGTATATTATTTGATGATGCTGTAACTAAATGAAGGAACTTACTGCCTTTTCATGATTTCCATTGATTTTATATTTTCTTCCACCCGAGAAATCACCTTTTTTTTCAGTTTCAATTCAAACATCTCAGCTGCTCTGTTTTGAAAAACAAGTTGGGACAATCAAGGATCTAACTAACCCAGCATCACTTTTTTTTTTTTTGCTAGATTAAAATGCTGGCCAGCAAGCTGCCTCTGTAGGAAACCATACAGAGACAGAATGTTGAGAGACTGTTCTATTGATAATATTCAGATGTGTACTGCCTCTGTATCCAAAGGAACCATTTAGCTAATATCGCTAACAGCAGAGGAATCTACAACAAAATATTATAGCATGGAATGCACCTATTCTCCTCTATTTGTCTATACCGCATGGCTTTTTCTCTCCTTCCAACAATAATCAACCAATATTCCATAGCCATTAAACATGCCCAGTCTTTGCTATTTTGGGATCAACTCCCCTTAATTTTGGCAGCTGGAGAATGGAACTATTATGTTCTCAGGCTGGACCCTCCAAATATGTTGGGATTGAAATTCCAGAATTTCTAGGCAGCATAGACTGAAATTCCCTAAAATTAATAGGAATTTTAGGAATTGCCAGTCCAATAGATGCAAAGGTCATCAGGTTGAAAAAGCAACTTTAGAATTTAGTTAAGTATATTTCAGACAGAAGAAAAATTCTACATCAAGCCATTTATGTGCATATGCATGCCAACCAATTAAAAAAACCTGAATCTACTAACTACCAGCAATCCAGCCTTCGCGTTAAACAGGGTGAGCTCCTGTTTCCTCCCCGGTTCCTGTCAACCCAACAGGTCGAAAACTCACGTG